GCGGCCGCGACCCGTTCCCAGAGATCACGCCGAGGGGCAGCGACTTCTCGTAGGTCGTAGTGGGCATCGCAACTTCGTAGGCTTCGTCTCTTTCGCTGCGACCAGCATCGCCTAGGAGTTGAGGCTCCGCGTCCGTATGAGGAGCTTCGCGATGGCCACGTGCAGCTGAATCCGTAGAGCAAGCAGACATGTTTCCGCATGTTCCGGAACAGCCGCCCCGGACCGTTCCGCGCACAGGTCCGGATTGTCGGGTAGTGCTTCGAGCCAGCTTCGAGCAACAACAGCTCGCGCTTCCCACCACTGTTGAGCGGATACGGGCCGTCGAAGCTCCTCGGGTTCCCGGCGGACTCCGCGGAAGTCTGGGAAGTCAGCTCCAGGCAGAACATGACCTTTTACTCGGAGATCAGAGGGTTGAGAATGGCATACTTTATGAGCGCCTTGGCGTTCGGCAGGAAGCCTCGGGAGCCCTTCTGCTTGGTGGTCGCGTGCGGGAGCTTCCGCGTTGGCCATCACGCTCTCGAGCCGGGCGAGCTCGCACGTCATCTCTGTAATGCGAGCGCCGATACGGGTGTTCATATCCTTGGAAAGGGTGGTGTGCATGCTTTGGTAGGCTTCCGCGTGGTGCTGAGCAAGTGCAACCGTGGTGGCAGCGCTGTTATCCAGCGAGGCCTTCTGCAGGTCGAGGAGCCTGTCCGCAGAGTCGGCCAGCTCCTGTTGGATCAGCTTATCATACTGGCCAGCAGCTGTCTCCGCAGAGGACGTGGTAGGGCGGACATCGCGTGGCGGATATGTAGCTCCTCGGCCATACAAGTATTGAAAACGAATGGGGACTGCATAAGCCCTCGGCCCTTCAGGTGCGGGCGTAAGGAGTTCAGCCAGTCGAACTGGTACAGGAGCCCGGGCTTGCATTGCACCAGACAGGAACGGATTACGTGCACGTGGCGGCGTCACCAGCAGTTCAGCGAGACGGACAAGAACAGCATGAGGCTGGTGCACTTGCGGGTCAGAACCAGAAGACAGCGGAGAAGCCGAGGCTCTCCTGGACTGCCTCGATGGCCTTCTTCGTGCTCGGGTACTCGGATTTGGTGTAGATGGATATCAGCGCGTGCGTGACGAGCTGGCCGAAGACGAGGGCGAGCCTCCATAGCAGGGACAGCAACCTTGCAGCAAGCGCGGTAAGGTGGGCGACATCACCAGGGGAGGCTACCATGCTGTGCGAGCATTTGGGAATATGAATAGTGCAAAGGTGTAACGCATTTTGGCAAACCTGGCTTGAGCCAAAATGGCTACGGAATGATGGTGATGATGATGATGATGCTGATGATGATGATGATGATGATGATGATGATGATGATGATGCTGATCATGATGATGATGATGATGATGATGATGATGATGATGATGATGATGATGATGAGGATGATGATGATGATGATGATGAAGATGACGATGATGATAAGGATGAGGAAGGGGGAGGGAGGGAGGGAGGGAGGGGGAAGAGGAGATAGAGGAAAAGTCTGTCCGCGGCGGGGTCGAACCCTCCTGGAGGGAGAATGAACAAAATGAGGTTGCGGCCCACAGTCCTGAGGAAGCTGGCCAAACGAATCTCAAGAAACAAATGAGATCGGCAAGCCCAAACAGATCGCGGTCCTTACCAGAACATTACCAGGACCCCCCTTGAAAACAAAACCGCGCAATGATGCACTGCGGGGGTGGCAGGATGAGGCAGATGGGAAATCAGAAAGAGTTATCCGAGGAAGAGAGAAGAACCAAGAGGAGGAGGAGGAGGATGAGGAGGGAGGAGGAAGAGGGAGGAGGAGGAGGAGGAGGAGGAGGGAGGAGGAAGAGGGAGGAGGAGGAGGAGGAGGAGGATGAGGAGGAGGGGAGGAGGGAGGAGGAAGAGGGAGGAGGAGGAGGAGGAGGAGGAGGAGGAGGAGGAGGAGGAGGAGGAGGAGGAGGAGTTGGCAACTGTGATTTGCCAGTCCCAAGCACTCAGAACGCATGACTGCTTGGTTTCTCAACAGGTGAGACACGAGCGACCCCACACGGCTCGAAAGGATACGTTCGCACGGCACGAGCCACGCGCGAATCATTTAAAAATGCAGCAAATCTGCGCCTTCGAAGTCAAGCTCCCCCGCACTAGAAATCATTGGCCCGCACCCTCGAGTCCACAACCCCTGGTTTCAAACACAACGGGTTCGCACTCCCGAAGCCACGACCTCTATTAAAATTTGCCTGGCGAAGAACCCAACCATATACAGTTGTGAGTACCGCTATATGTGGCCACGAAGCGTGTGAGGGGTGCGCCGAAATGGGGCGGGGCCGCCATGCGAACCCTGTCACTGGGGCATTCGGTGGAAGTCCATATGGGGCCACGAAACGTGTGAGGGGTGTGCCGGAACAGAGACATGCGGAGGGCAGAGGCGCAGAGGCGGAGGGAGGGAGGGGGCAGCGGGAGGAGGAGTGGGACGCGGGGCGCTGTCTCTTCAAAACGAGGGCCCAACACCACATGACGGTTGGGAACAATGGGCCCGCGCTCCTGAGGCCGCGATCCCTTCCAACAGCAAAAAGGGCCGCGCCTTCGGGGTCACGGTCCTGTGCGTCATGAATGATTGGTCCACGCCTTCGGGCCCATGTTCCGATTGACAACAACAGCACAAGCGATACACCATGCTCCCGAGGTCGCGATTCCTCTAACGAGAAAAGGCCTGCGCCTCGGAGACCATGGCCCCAAGCAACCACACAAAACAAAGATTCGCGTCTTCGAGGCCACGACTCCTTGCCCAAACACGTAAAATGTTGGTCCGCGCCTTCGAGGCCACGAGCCCTCATAATGCAAAGAAACTGGCCCGCGGCTTTACATGTGCCGATCCCTCGTAAACGCAAGGCCCGCGCCCTCGAAGCCTAGTGCACAAACAATTGGCCACACTTGGCCATTCATTCGAGTCCAATTCCCCTTGTACAACACATTGCATCCTCGCACTCGCACGGCCACGATCCACTGTAAAAAGTGTTGGCCCACGCGTTCCAAGGCACGATCCATGCTGAAAAACCTGTATTAGCGGCCTGGAGGCCACCTCGTTAAAAACAACTATGGGCCCGCGCCACCGAGTCAACGGACCCAGTGAAATACACGGGGCCTGCGCCTGCAGACCATAACAACACATGTGGGCTCGAGCCTGCGTGGCAACGGACCATTGCAAAAACAAGATGGGCCCGCGAGCACGAGACGACGATTCCTTGTACAGGAACTATGTACCCCCGGCTTCAAGCCCACGATCTCTAGTGCAATTCGGTGAGCCCGCGCCGTCAAAGCCACAACCTTTAGCAACAACATATTGAACTGCGCCTTCGAAGCCACGATCCCTGGTATACCAAACCATCGGCCCGCGCCTACGATGCCACGACCCTCCTGTAAAATCTAATGGCAGTCGGCCCGAACACGACAACCACCCTTTCCAGCTTTCCAGCCTGCCAGCACGCCTGCCAACCAGCCCTTCAGACGAACAGGTTGGCCAGCCACCCTGCCAAGCATTCGACCAGCTGGCCAGCAACCAGCTGAGCCTGCCAACCAATCAGCCAATCAACCCAATCGGACCAACCTTGCAGGCAATCAGAGGGGGCGCCAGCAGAGGGCGAAACCATTCACATACACATGTCTGTCTACAGGTATATCGTATATGGTGTTTTCAAGCAGGCAAAAACCTGTCTCATAACTGTGGTGCAGCATGAGGCAACCCTCGCATAACACACCATATCACGTAATCTCAAGCAGCTAGCAAATCGTAGCCGAGCATGGTATATGACAACATCGCACGCCCTAACACGTGCAAACCAGTTCATGTGTCATATCACATCGTGGAACACTGCTTGTATGCCACAAAATTCTACGACACAGTCAAACCATATAACGAAAAGACATTGCAAACCAAGTGCGCAGCATACCATGGCGCGCCATGCAAGCAAGCATCACATTGCACGGTATAGCGAATCAGATCACAACATATGCATGCGGATAGCACAGCACAGGGTAGGATTGCCCAACATAACACAACGCCATATTTGCATGACGCAACGTGGAACAACACAGCAATATCGCATCGCATCCCGTAGCATGGCATAACGCAGCACTCACTTGCAGAGCGTATCACATGGAAGCCAGAGATTACTAGCATAACGTAGCAGTGCACAGCGTATTGTAGCACTGAGGCCTTGAGTCCGAACGAGGAGCCATGGCCCGAGAGTCAAAGAGCGAGCCGCGCAGCCCGGGCGAAGTCCAACAGCCCTATGCACATGACGGGAAGAACACCCTAGTGCAAAGGCCGCCAGGCGTGTCGGTAGGGCGGTCCTGACGCTCCGTTCGAGACCTCCTCAGGCGCCACGGAAGTCGAATGTGTCATGCGCGCTTCTCTTTAAACATCGGTCTCGCTGGAAGCGTATTCGGAGGTTGTTATTCTCACATTTGAAGCTAAATGGTTTCAACAAGTGGTTCTGGTCTGACACATACTCATAATTAACACTTGGAGCTTCGATTGTCCAGCCGATACACGTATCGGAGGCGGCTCGTTTGCGAAACCGCACTATCGCCGAACACGTCCCTGAATTCAACGACCCTCAAATGTGGATCTTTCAATGAAGTAGAAATGGAGAGCGGGGCGGCTCTTGACGCCCAGTGTCGTTTGAGACTTCTCTGGGTTTCACGATCATCAAACCTGAAATGCCTAACAGCTGAACTATTGGGTGAAGGGTGCAGGGTTTTCAGACGCAGGTGGTCGTCTCTTCAAATTCCGTAACCATGAATCTAAAATATTCGCACGCAGCACGGCGATCTCCCAACATCGGGCTCAAGCCTGGGAGCACTCGGAAAGAACACCTTGAACCTCCGAGTAGTTCAGAGGGGCAAAGCACATCAAGATGTCTGGGCAGACGCCTCCCGACGCACAACTCCGACTGCCTTTTCGCCGCTGGGTCGGGTCGAAGGGCCCGCGGCGCTGGCTCTCCTGAGGTCGCCGAGGTCTTCATCAGGACGCCGTAGGTGACGACCTCGGCAAGGGGGCGGGGGGCGTGCACTGGATGCGACACCGGCCGCTGGCTCCAGGACAGAGAACGGGGGGAGGGAGGGAAGCATATGAAATGGGGGAGAGGGGGGGGAGGAGAAAAGATGAGGAACGAGGGAGAGGAGGGGGGGATGAGAGGGGGAAAAGTGGAGGAAAGAGGAGAGAGGAAAGGAGAGGGGGAGGGGAAAAGAGGAGGATGGGGGGAGGGGAAGGGAAAAGAGAAGGAAAGAGGGGGTAAGGGAGGAGAAGTGGGGAGGGGGGCAGGGGAAGGGAGGGGGAGGGGGAGGGGCGGAGAGGTTGGAAATGGAGCCCCACGGGGCTCGGTGGAGTCAGTCAGAGCAGTCTGACTCGAAATCTAGAGGGGCCGCCTGCTCCGCCGGCTGCTCACGCCTGCCTCTCCCCTCCGCGCAGCGAAAGGGCAACCTCCCTCCGCTGGCGGTCAGTCTCCTTTCGGCGAGGGCGCTGGATGAGGAGCCACTGGATAAGGAATCCGGGACCTGGAAGCTGGTGGCACTCCAGTCGTGGAGTGGCCGTGGACATCACCGCCGCCCTCGTTACATAGATCGGACATCCTCAAGGGTCTGAGGCCTCCTTGGCACACTCCCTGACGAACGCCCCCACCGTGCCCTCAACACTGCAAGGGCCTATGGGGTGTCCAGGAGCAGACGGCTGGGGAGGAGGGCCCACCACAGCCACAGCACACGACTGGCTCCCACCACTCCCTCAGGTCCCGCACCCGAGCACGCAACACCTCTGATCTCATGCCGCCATGACTGCCACACTGGCTTTGGGCGGGCCCACTCTTCTCGGACAAGCCCCTTTCTGAAGTTCGTTGGTGGGGGATGGGGCGAAAAAGAGGAACGAGAGGGGGACGAGAGGCAAGAGGGGAACGGGAATGGCAAGGGAGAGGGAGTGGAGGGGGAGGGCTGAGCTCCCTACTTGATTAACTCGGCGGGCTGTGCTCTCTGCCTGAACTCTCTCGAGCTCGAGACCCTCGCACGGATCTTGGACGAGCTCACCCCAGATCAACGCCCCTTGGACGCCATGCTGCACTACTGCCCCAGCTAGAACTGAGGCAACAACTATTTTGCGAAAGTCAAGTGCTTGCTCAGAGGAGTTGCTACGAGCCGACGGTGGTCAAGGACCTGCCTACCAACAATAACCAGACCAGCGAAGGAAACACTACCGAGTCCACGGACGTCGTGAAGAGTGACCCTACGACACATATTGCAGCAGGGAGTGGCCTAGCACGCAACGGCACTGAGTGATCAGAGGCTACGCTGAGGGAGTTTACGGCGTTACCAGCACCAGAGCACGAGCTTCATGATCTCTGTTTCTGGGAGTCAGATGATGCGCGCGACCTGCATTATCGCCGTTGGCGGTCGGATCAAGGGTACTGGACCCCAGGGTACTACGCCATGACTGCAACACCTCAGACCAAATGGCCACCGACAGTTTATGACACATTCAACTACACTGACTAAACTATCGCGTCTACATCGACCTGGCTGTGCAAGATGGTGTGGGAGCTGCCCCGCTCTCCAACATATATGACCACAACTTCTCCTCCATCTGTAGGAGTTGAGGATAAGTCTGTTCTACTGCCCCCCTTTACTCCAGGCAAGACTCGCGCCATCTTCAGCTGGGTAGCAGCTCGCGCTGGCCACGCGAACAGTAGTGCGAGGGCGCAGCGAGCGCCGACTGGGTGGACGCATCGATCGGACGCTGCGCAACAGAAGGAAGAGCAAGGAGGAGGAACGAAGTGAATAGCGAGGAGGAGGAGGAGGAGCAGGAAGAGGAGGAGGAGGAGGAGGAGGAGGAGGAGGAGGAGGAGGAGGAGGAGCGAGCGAGTGAGAAGGATCGAGGAGGATCGAGGAGGACATGGGCGACCAAAACCGAGACAGGCATGGTGACCATCCCCCCCCCCCCCGGGCGCGCGCAACCTGTCAGGCCGGGCGCGGCCGAGGCGGCCGCGTTCGGAGAGACCCGGGCGGCTCTCATCTCGCCGAGCACGGCCTCGGCGGGGCCGCCAGTGCCGTCGCCGCCGCCGTCATCGTTGGCATCGTCGCGACCGCCGCCGTCGTCGGCGGAGCAGAGGAAGGGAGAGAGAAAAAAGGCAGGGAGACATGGCATGCAGGGAAGCGGGGGGGGAGGGCGAGGGGGAGGGAGAGGGGGGGCAGGAGGAGCAGGAGGAGCAGGATGTGCCGGCGCAGGAGGAGGAGGAGGAGGAGCCCAGCGCAGAGGAGGAGGAGGAGGAGGAAAAGAGGATGCGGAAAAGAGGAGAAGGACGAGCGAACGTAGCCTTGCGGGCCACGTCAAAGTCTCAGGGGCCGCCACGGCCGCCGCGGGGTCCACGCTCAGGGTGGGTCGGGGCACGCTGCGCCTCCCGCACCTCGTAGAATGTCTCGGAGCTCGTGATGTGCGCTCCAGCTCCACCCGTCGAGTCTTGTGGGAGCCTGAGCGCGTGGCGAGCCGCAGCGCACCTGTTCACCATCTCCTGGTAGAGCGCGTTGCGCTCTGGCTGTAGTCTTTCGTCACGTGGTACACTTTGCAAGTGACCGCCATGCGGGCCACCGAGCTCTGGATGCCGTTATCCCCCACCATGTCCTGGCGGGAGCCCAGGCCGAGGCGGACTAGCAGGTTGACGGAGAGCACCCCGCGCAGCTTCGCCATGTGGTGGAGCATCCTCGGGCAGATCATGTAGTGGGCCATGCCGCCCTTGGCCTCGCAACCGTAGAGGCAGTCTTTCTTGCCCTGCAGTGCGCGCCTCCTGTGCGATGTAGTCCATGCACCAACCAGTGTCTTCATCGTGGCCCACAATCGGTCTGGTGGGAGATCAGCCAAGTGCGAGCGCAACCTGAGCCAGCGCGTCTTCAAGTCGTCGGGGATCTGTGCGATGCCAGGGAGGTCGGGCTCGTCCTCGGGGCTCGACTCGTTCGAGGGTTCCCCGGGCATGTCGCCCTCTACCTCCAGCGGGAGCGCGTCAGGGTCGATCCATTGACGACGGGCACAGCGTTCGGCAGCAAGTGTCTCACGGTGGGCGGCTTTTGCACGGATATCAGCTCGTCTGGGGCCAGCGTTACCGAGAATACTCAATTCGCGAAGGCGACGCGCGACAGCGCTGTCCCGCCATGCCAACCTGCACATGTCACGCGCAATCAAGTCGGCGCTGCTCAGGCGAGATGCAGGGCGGGCGAAGTTCCGCCATATGGATCACGACCACGAGGTACGTCTCACACCAGTGTATCCAGTCCTTGCCGAAGTTGCCCGAGTCAATGAAGATGTCAGCGAGCCAGCGAGCAGCCTAGTCGGCAGTGCGTTGTTGAAAACGATGTCGTATGTCCTCAGCCTGCGCGCGCGCGGCCACACGGGCGGCGGGCGTGCTGGTTGCCGAGGAGAGCAGGGAACCATGCCGTGAGTCTGCGCTTGATCGTGACGCGCGTGGTGTCCTCGTAGAGCTTCTTCTGCAAGACAACGCATAGGCCTTATGCGGCATGCGCTTCTCCCCGTGCGAGTTGAGGTCGTCGATCGTTGGCGAGGTGGCAATCAGTGCTTCCATTCCCTGTCTCGCAGCGTACTGATGCGCGGCTTGGAGCTAGCCGCGCGCTCCGACAATGGAGTTGGCGGCGCGCGCGGTCCGCTTGAAGATGGAACCTTTGCCCTCGACGAAAGACGTGGAGTGGAGGGCGCCATGTAGACGCTGCGCAATGGACGCGGGGCCCTCCCAGCATTCAGCGCGCCGGCGCCCTGTCACGGCGTAGCGCATCGGAAGTTCTTCATGCGGCTGCGTCGCACAGCTTGGCGTAGAGGCGGCCCCGGCCGTCTATCGCGACGCGGGCGGGCGCGCCACATTGCGGCTGCAAGCAGCGTCTCGATGCCATGAGGAGACCCCGCGTTTGTCGCGTGATGGCTGCCGCGCTGTAGAGCCCCACCGGGTGCGACAGGTGGTCTATGGAGGGTCTCTTTCCTCTTCCACAGCCCTTTTTCCCCTCGCCCCCCCCCCCTCCCTGAAGTTTTTTTTTGGGGGTCGCTAGGTGTTGGAGGCCCCCTTTTCGGCCCCTGGAAAAGCCAAATTCGGACGCCCCTCAGGAGCATCGCGGCCCCCGAGGTGGGGTGGGGTGGTGGTGGTGGGAAGGGGGGGTCGAGGGCCCCAAAACTTGCGACCGACCGCCTCCAAGGTGGCCCCAAGAGGCCTCCAGGGCTCCAGAGAGGCGCCCAAGAAGGCTCAAAGAGCGCCCCAAGAATCCCCAAGAGGCCTCTAAGAGGCCCCCAAGAAGCCCTCGAGTGGCCTCAGAGAGCCCAAGATGACCTCCAAGGTGGCTCAGACAGTCCACGCCGGCCCAAGATGGCTCCCAAGATGCTCCAAGCGGCGCCGAGACCGCTCCAAGACGGCTCGAGATGGCCACGGGGCTTCCCGCGTCTCCCCTGCCATTTGACTACGCGCGTCTCCTCCTCTCTTCCCCCGCCAACTCTCATGGGCATTGTTCCTGGATGGGCTGGGGGGGGGGGGGGGCGCGCGAAGCGCGGAGAATTCGATGCGCGTCTGAAGCGGGGCGTAGGAGACAGCGAGCTTCTCTGCTCGGTCACTTCGCCGAGGCGGCTTTTTATTGGTCTTGGAGGGCAGCGCCAGGGCCGATGGATAATCCGATGTAGCGGGCCTTCGCTTCTGTCTGACGCTGCGCCAGGGATGGGGGGGGTCCTGCAGGGCGGTTCTGATCTCGTCGGTGATCATTATGTTGGGTAACGCCCAAGCTGGCACGGCGATGCATTTCTTGGCCTGCAGCTCGAATCCCGCCAGCGTCTCCGCCGCGACGAAGTAGTGCGCCGGCCGAGATAGGCCGCGAAGGCGCGCGAGGATGATGCCGAGGTCGTTCGCGCGCGCGCGCGCCGGCTAGCCCTCCTTGGATGTCTTGTAGCTCCGCGCTGAGCACCCGAACGAAGGGGTCGAATACCAAAGTGCATATGGCCCCGCTGAGAGGGCATCCCCGTGCCACCCCAGACGCAGCGATGAAGCGGGGGATCCCCGTAGTTCCAAATAGGCCAACGGAGCGAACTAGCGCGCGCGCAGTAGCTGCAACGCGCGTTCATGGACACCCCACCGAGTGAGAACAGCCCGCGGCCATTGATGACCGAGGCAGGGGGAGGCGACGGCGATGTCCATGCTGATGAAGACGGGCATGTCGGCGTTGGCTGACGAAGGCGCACTCGGGCGCCTCGCCCCGGCGTCGACGAGCGCCGTGTTCCGCAAGAATTGGCGACCAACCACAAAGCCTTGTTGTTCGACAGCGGTGTCAGCTGCGATTGTGCGCGGCACTCTGTTGGCAGCCGATGCAATCAATTTGACGTCCGTGTTTTCCATTGAGAGAGGCCTGAGGCAGTCGAGCGAAACCTTGCATTCGGCGTTGCCCAGCGGCTCTCCCCATTTGAGGGGGCATGGCCATGAAAAAGAAATTGAAGTCGCACGGCGGCGCGGCGTTGCCAGGGCTGGCCATATCTGGGGCCAGGTCGGACAGCGCCGCGAGGGGGGGGCGGGGCGCGGAGCCAGGCGCGGTGAGGGGAGATGGTCAGGCCCAGGAGCAGAATCTTGGGCGCGTCTGGCGGCAAGGCGTGGACCTTCAGCATCAGGCGCAGGAATGCCCCGCGGAGAGCGCCAGGGGAAAACTGAGCTGAGGCAGTTGGCGATGGCATCCTCGCTCACTTGCTTGGCGGCAGAGATCGGCCCCCAGCGCTTCATGATAGCGTTATGCGCGGAGGCGAGATCGGGGGCGATGTTAACTTGTGCTCCCGAGACGATCTCGGTGCCCGTTAGGATCAGGCGCTCCGAGAATGGCTGCCATAGCTCAGCTTTACATCCTTCCTGCCTGGATGTTCGCCTCCATCGGCCTCCCAGTCTGACAGTGGCCCCGGCGCATGCTGGGCGCGAGCGAGCAGCGGCCTTCGCCTCGCGCTCTTCGATGACAGTAGAGCGCGCGGCATCGGTCTCAGCCTGAAACGCGGCAAAGTCCTTCAGGGCCACTTGTTTGTTGACGATGAGCAGATTCTCGGCGGCGATCCCCGTGTTCTGGATGCGCGCGCTGGCGAGGTGCACGTCCTGGCACCAAGTCGCTCTTGCTATGCTTCTCAGCGACATGGCGGGAGCTTCCTTGGAGATGCTAGCCGTCGCGCTATTGAGCACGGCGGTGGCAATCTTGGTCATGGTGCCTCGGGTCTACTCGGCGGCCTCAGTCGTGGCGGTCTTCATGGCCCTCCAATTCGTAGTGGCGTTCGTGTCGGCGCTGTCATTGTTGTTCGAGATATGTTCAACGTGGCGCTGATGACGCGGCGAGTCAAATGCCAAGGCAGGAACGCCACGTTCGCTGGGGGGCGCTGCTGGCGAGGACGAATGCGAAGGTGTATGATTTTGCGGTCTTTATCCATGCCGCTAGGGCCCTCCAGCGGCGCGTCGCAGGCTGTGGGCACCGTCTCCATGTTGGGCATCGCGTGGGCGGGGGGCGAGAGAGAAAGGTTCAGATCCCAACCAGACGCGTGAGATCCCAACCGGACGGTTCAGATCCCAACCGTCAAGGACACGTGGGACGCGTGAGATCCCAACCACTTTGGAGCCTTTGCAAAGCTCCAAGCTTCTGCAAGGTTCTGAGAGCCACTGCTAGCCTCTGAGAGATTCTGAGAGATTCCGAGAGATTCTGCTACTACTACTACTACTACTACTACTACTACTACTACTCCGAATCTTAGTCGTAATACATCTACTATTCCTAGTATCACTACTACTACTACTACTACTACTACTACTACTACTACTACTACTACTACTACTACTAGTAGTACTACTACTACGACTACTACTGCTACTACTACTACTACTACTACTACTACTACTATTACAACCACTACTACTTTCAATACTATACCCTCCACAAGTACTACTACTAATACTACGAATTGTACTGACACTACCACTACTAATGCTACTACACCCTCCACAAGTTCTGCAACTACTACTACTACTACGACGA